ATTTCTTCGAGCAGCTCGGGGGGGATAAATACCCTATTATCCCCCCCCCTTGTATCCGCGTCTGGTTCCTCAATGTTTAAAAACATTTACTTTAGTTCCTATTCCTCAGGTGATAAATACAAATAGAGTTAATCAACTCAGACCTATAGATATCTTACCATTCTGTGAAAAGGTACTTGACTTTGTGAATTAATAATTTTTGAAGTTTTTAAGTGATAATGATATATTATTTAGTCATCAATCAGGTTTTAGAAACTCACATTCTTGTGAAACGGCTTTGCAATTAGTTGTGTATTACATGAAAAAAATATTAGACGAAGCTTTTGAAACTATCGCAGAATTCTTTAATATAATTAAAAAGAATAATGATAATATATCAAATTTATTATTAAACGATGTAGACGTTCCCCAGAGCAGTGTCTTGGGCCTTTTACTCTTTATAATATATTATATACAGGGTGAGTTATGATAGACCTTACAGACTTCCACATGTAGAGTCCCTTAGGGGGTATATCATATGAGCATTAAAAGAGTGGCAGCTCCCCTTCGTTTTGTGAATTTTAACAAAAATTTATGTGGCCGTAAAATCTACAAGGATTACTAGATTTCTATATATTGGTAAAACTCTAGTATTTATTTCATATCCTCAAAAGTAAAAAAATCCACGAAATGCTTAGGAAAAATTATTCTCGACGATTCATATCAAAAAGTTTGCACTATATACGATTTTTTAAAATAATAATAAGATATTTTTAAAGTACAGAGATAGACCTTTAAATCTGTGTTTGTGTGACATTTTTGTCACATTTTCGTTAATTTTTTTATTAATTTCGATTTTGGGCAAAACTGAAAAATCACCTTAAGGGATCACATAATAATGTTATAACTTAAAGAAAACATTGCCAATTGTATACAATTAAACTAAAACGAGTCGAACATAAGCCTTTAGTGCCTATACTGCACCGTTAATCTCATTTTGTCCAATTTTCAGATACGGATTAGTTCAGTTATAAATTTTTCATTTTTAAACAAAAAATACCTTGTACGTTTTTGTAGACTCAAATATATTAAACATAAGTATATATGTATTTATTAGAAATGTTTTATGTCGTTCAAATTGCATATCAACAAACAATAAATAAATTGTAACGAATAAGAATAACAAACAACTCTAATTATATCAAACACATTTGAGAAGGCGCGACAGACGACAGCACGGCAGAATTTGATGCTTGCTGCCTGTCGCTTGTCGTCTTATTCGATCTCGCCTTCTCAAATGTTTAAAAGTGCTGTCGTAGGTCGCGCCATCCCAGATGTGTTTCATATAATTACTAGTCTTCAAAAGTGAAAAGACTGTATTTGGTCTCCTTTGCTGTCGCTTTACGCTTGTCGCTTTACTCGGTCTTGTCTTCTCAACTGGTACCTTTAGGGTTAATACTAGATAGAGAATTGAAATATAATATGCACATTGATATGTCTAAAAAAATTGGAAAGCAAATTGGTTTAATAAGAAGGTTATCACTGTTTTTATCTATATCAATTAGAAAAACCATTTATAATACAATGATATTGCCTCATTTCTACTACTGTAGTACTATTCTTTATACACGGTGTTCTTTCTAATTTTGACAGGTTACTAATCCTACAGAATGGGGCAATGCGGGCAAATTTGGAATACAATCGTTTTTCTAGTTCACAGTTAATGTTGGAAGCTTTAAAAGGATAAAAATTGAACTTCTACTCAGACGGTATATAAAATTGTTAAATGTTACCTGAGATCTTCATAAAAAGTTATGCAGAATATTATTTAGGTACAGGGCTACACTATTATCAACAGGAAATAATATTAGGATGAAATTAACATAAATCAAAAGAAAACTAAAATATAGACAGTGTATAAGGTATAAGGTATAATAGATAGTACCTATATTCTATATAAAACAAATTCAAGACGTTGTTGCTTTTTTAACATAAGGTAAGTGAATACAATATCGCCATGCTAAGCTTATATTATTTTTATATAAAAGTACTTAATATTATTCTTACAAACTGTTGTTTTTACGGGAAATTTTACAAGGAAATTCAGTTTTTCTAAATTAACGTTTATTTAAATAAAAAGAAAACATAAACATAAGTAGGAACAATATAGACAAATGTAACCCTCAAATTTATCCTTCTTGGTTAGTTCCAAGCAGTCGTCGTGTAAATAGCTCTTGCAAGCCATGCAAAGACGCATGTCTGCGATTCTGTCCATTTTGCATGCTTTGCAATACCACCTCTCTTTACTAGTCGCTTTCTTCGGGCCGAAGCACTTTTTCCCTGGTTCAGGTTTCTTAGACTTGGAAGTAGAAGTGTTGCCTGTTAAATTAGACTTGGCGAAAAGGTTTTTGGTAACAACTTGTGCTCTGGAATTGATTGCTGGTTTTCTTGGCCTTGTGCCATAATATTTGTGTGCCATTTCAGGTGTGGTAAGCATATCAGAAAATGACGTATGTTGATTGTCTTCACCCTCTTCGTCCTGTTCGTCTTCTTTGGCATCGTTATCTGTAATCTGTATTATCGTCTAAGCATTCGGACGGCAGGGATTCACTCCCTTCAGAATCACTCATGTCACGTAACTGAATTCGTTAACGTTTTCCAGCAGCTGTCGAGAGATCTGGAAGTGGTGTACTTGAAATAATGGGTCGACTGTTGGAAGAACCTGGAGGGGGTGTCATGACTCTATGTTGCGTAGGCGGTTGTTGGCTAGGATTTTCCTGTTCAGTTACACTGCTTGGAGCACATGCTTCGGGTGGTAAAATGTCCGGATTGAACGGATAAATTACAGTTACTGCGAAACCAGATTTAATGTTTAATGGTGTCATACATTTCTTCCAAACTACAGAAAACATGTTTCCAATACGTTGTTTTGTTGATCCCTATGTGTTGACCAGTATTTAAGATCTTCGTCATCCCAATAGTGTTCAAATGAGCGAAACACAGACCTATCCATAAGCTGTAGTTCGTGCGTTGTATTGCTTGGCAAGCACTATAACGTTATACCCAACTCTTCTACGAGCGTGACAATAGAATAATTCAGATGACATTTAGCACTATCGAAAATTAAAAGAGATTGACCAGCAACTTTGTATTTGGCAAAATGATGCAACCATTGTTTAAAAGCATCAATGGTCATAATACCTTTCGGAGTCATGAACACCATACTAGACGCCGAAATTTTATCTGCCCATTCAGGCTTCATCCTTTTTCCTTTAAATAAAATTAAGGGAGGAATCGCAGAACCTAGGGCATTGCCGCAAGATACTATTGTGACGTGTTGTCTATGCTTATTTGCACAAAGTGCACTCGCTTTGCTCCTTTTTTTGCAAGGTCTGTTTGTTGGTGGTGTAATGCTAACCGACAGCCTTTCTTATCCTTGTTGTAGATATGCTCAGGCTTGTCCATGTTAGCAAGAATATCGCCCAATTTTTCAAAATAGTCACTTACAATAAACCTATTTAGTTTCTGAGTTCTCGCGGAGTTCATGCTTTGAGCTTTCCGATTCCTAAAATTCGAATGCCTGTTGAGAAAACCTTTTGGTCAGTATCGGCCCGCCCATTTTGTAACTTTATTAAACGGATTTTGAATTTGGTTGGTCTTACAAAAATTGAATATGCATCGCCGTAAAACTTTCAAAGTTAATAGATAGCCTACTTCCGCCAAACGAATTATTCTTCCACACAAATCTTCCTCTTGTTCTAAATTAATAACTGATTTGCAACCCATGGCAGATTTTGTTGTTTGATGGTTACGTAAGTAGTCTCTCATGGTCCTACGAGGAACCAAAAATTCCTTACTTGCTGAATTCACAGACATGCCATTTCCAACAGCTGCTAGGGCACGCTGCATATTTTCTTCCGACCATTTCCCTCTGTTACCTTGGTTTCTTGTTTTATTCATGACGATTCTGTAAAATAATGAACGATTCTTTAGAATAATTCAAGAAAACATGAAAAATATTCATGTCTGGCAATATCGCCAATGGCGATATTGGTTATTTTGGCGATATTACAAATTTACAAACACGCGCACATTTCTACTGTTTCTTGCTTACTTCGGTAAAAAAATATACAATTTTTAAATGCCTACCATTAGTCGATAGCTTATTCTTTACTAAAAACTACTGCTAATAAAAAAAAGCACTTACCTGCATAATATTTGAAATATCCAATAAGTATCACGAGAAATCGCTTACATCGGTGGTGGTGGTGGTGGTGGTGGTGGTGGCGGCAAAGCAGTTTAGGTGAGATAAAAATTCACCACAAATTGAAATATAGATTGCTTTTACTATTGGAAAAGTACCCCAACCACCATTTGTCTTTCAGAAACCAAACTTTTCAAGATATGAACCCTTGGCGTTATTGCCAGCTTGGCGATATTGTATTCGCCCGTATTCACCTACTTTATTTTTTTGAATGGAATCTGTGTAGAAGCTATCATTTAATCAATTATTTTTTACAGTGGTTTTTGCAATACCCAGGAATGGTTCTAGTTCTATTACTCTTTTCGTGATATTTTTGGCTTTTTCCTCACTCTCCACACCGCTGTCCTTAAACCTATGTCTTTAAAAAATAAATTATTATCATATAGATTTAAAAAGATGGGTTCAAGAACCGTATCTCGTAGTAATTTAGTGAAAGAAACATTTTGTTTCACTGTGGTTCTGCGAATTAAGAGTTAAGTGCGAACGTTCGCCCATTGCTCGATGTGTAATCTCTTACTAGAAGCAATTGGTTTTTGTTATTCTAATGTTTCCTTTGGTGAGTCATTATTTTTAATTTGGTAAACATTGACATATTGATATCTATTTAAAAACTCTTGAATATTATAACCTGATATCTAAACTTGAACAATTTGACACAAAGTAGTTATTTAAATTTTTCAATAATTTGGTGACAAACATTTCAAGCAGCACCGAAGTGTCAGATTGCTTAATCCTATGGTAATATTTGAAAACTTACCTGAATGAGAAAAATATTACTAGAGATATAAGTAGAGCTACCAGCGATATCGCATATCCAATAACTGTCAGCTTATTGATGAATGTAAGAAACTGAAAAAAAGAAAAGGGTTATTAGATGAGTACATAAATTTAATTCACAAAAAATAAGTTAGCAAGTCATTTATAGAACAGTTTAAGTTTTGACGCCAAAGTAAATCCCAATACGCATCTAAATTATTTTCATTTTATAGTTAAATTTAACTGACTCTGGCACCAACAACTAACATAAATATATTTAATAAATTAGGTTTTAGAACTTTGATCATTACAAGAATAACTGGGAAGTTTTAAAAGAGTTAGTAGGGTATTTTATACACAAATCTGCTCGTACTTACTTATTTGATGTTAACTTGCCTTATATTTGGAATCATTCCAAATAAATTATTGATAAATTTATAAAGTTCAAGTGTGTTTAAATATTTACCACCAACGTAATGATAAATTTATTGACGACACACTATTTTCTTGATAAAGAGTTAATATATCGGACGCATTTTTTCATAGCCCTTTTCTCATTTATTTCAAATTTTATTTACTGTATCAACGTTGATTAAGTAATTGATTTTTAAATAGAGGTTTTACCGAAGAAGATGAAAATGATAGATAATAATGTGTGGGTGATTGTAACAACTTACAGAAATATTACGTTAAAGATGATTTGAAGAAAATCGTTTATAGAAACGGCACAAGCAATCTGGGGAGACCTTATTGAAATGCCGTTAATATAATAGGAAATTAGAATTCAATTGAAGCGAAATAGGGTATAACTAGAAAATTGACAATTTTGTATAAGGAAACATTATTGGAGAGAGTCTAAACGTTCATCAAAATTTACAAGCTTACCAATTTACTAGTCTTTTTAAAACGTATTGCATTTCCTATGAAGTTTATTTTATCCACCGCGGCAACTGAACTGATTTAATTAGGTAGCCATGCTTCTAAAATGTGAAACAAAATACTTTTATTATATTGCTCTTATTCTTAAGCGTCCAATAAATTATTTATAAAGTTTTAAAAACGTTTTTTAATAGCTATTTATACAAACAGTTATGAAATGCCTTATTTTATGTAACGATTAAATATTTTCGGGACGGGCAGAGCGAGGCCCTACAATATGAACGAGTTTTTGGTACTGTGTTAATTACAAGCGCAAACTGGATCATCAAGTATTAGACATAGTTTCAGCTACCATTGCTTGTGCTATCATCCCATATTTTCCTGTACTTTGTCTGGGTGTCGCTTTGAACAAATATTGATATGTCTTAGTTGTTATATGAATTAAGACACCGATAAAAAAGAAAAACAAACAAAATTTGGAAAAATTTCTGATTTGGTCAAGAGTGTAAATAAAAACTTCTAGGAATCCTATAAACCTAAAGAAAAACTTTCATTATTTCGTGGTAGGCTAAGCTTTCTCCGTACAGGGCCGGCTTTAGCATTTTTCCACTGTGTGCAAAATCCTGAGCTGGCGCCTCCCCCTATCTAGCCTAACTACTACAATTTTTTTATATAGGTTTAAAAAATAGGTATACTAAAAGAAACCACAAAAAAAGTTTACCTACAAACTTTATTTTTTTTAACATAAACTTATTTGTAAACAATTTACAAACGAGTACCTCAACTGAAATTGGGTCAGCCAAAAAAAAAACATTACCTAACAAAAAAATTTTTTGTGACTTTAATTTCAGCAAACTTTTTTATGATTTCTGTAATATCGGTTTTCTCACGTTATCTCGTGTTCTATTGCAATAATAGAAAGACCACAAAGTCGATTTTGTGTGATTGTGATACGTAGGTAAGTCTTGATCCGTTTTAATTTTGAGAAACTCCTTTCTTCTGTAGCGACAGTTACTAGAGATACTGGAATAACATAGTATTGTATTGTCACCGGAACTATAAATGGATACAAAATTTCAAGTAAATACGACAAGTAGATGTCGATCAAAATCGACGTTCCAGATTTATTACATTCTTTATCTCTGGGGTGGCGTTGCAGGGCGCTGAGTTTCTCACGGACAATCGCAGGAGCAGCATCGGATAATAATAAAATATGGGTAAATAATCTTAATTATTTATTTAAAATTAAATCTATACTGCCATGGCTGCTCTTCTTAATGACTAGACAAATAAAAAACTAATATTTTATTTTAAATTTTATTAATGTATTTTTTTGGTTCCCCTAGAATTTGGCGCCCTGTGCAACTGCACACTTTGCACATGCCTAGAGCCGGTCCTGCTCAGTACATTCCGAACAAAAAGGCACGCTACGAAATTTATCAGGGCAAGAGCGACTTAACTGATGTTGGGATAAAAAAGAACCTTATTGTGAAGAGACTATTGGCACCTTGGGCATCATATTTACATGGATAACCTTTACAATTCAGTTGAGTAATATATAAGAATTGTTGAATTTTAAGACGCACACAACTGGGACACTTCGTAAAAACAGAAAAGACAATCCAAAGGCAGTCGTTAATTCTAAGCCTAAAAAAGGAAAGCAAATCTGGAGAATATCTGGAGATGTATAATGTATATGTCTCAAAGTGGAAAGATGAGAGAGAGGTACTTTTTATATCCACTGCGAACAATCCCAAACTAATAGAGTTTCGTAACAAATTTGGCAAACTGAAAATAAAGTCCAGGGCAATTGCTGACTACAACGAAAATATGTCGAAAGTTTGTTGCAACAATATTATGAGTGGCCCCAATTCAGTTATAAAAACTAGAACAAGGACCAGTCGCTTGCCCCCAATTGTGAAAGCTGACCCATCACATCAAGTTGCCACACAGCAGACTCTTGTTGCTGAGAAAATACCTGCACCTGAGAACTATAAAGGAAAAACTTACTTTCTACGTTGTAGGCAATGTTGGAAAAACAATATTAGTAAAGAAACTTCAGTTATTTGCAAGGGAAGTAAAGATAATTCTCCATTATGTCCTACATGCTTTCAAAGCTACCATTCCACATTATGAAAATAGTGCTGACAAATATAATTTTATCATCTTATTTTTGTTAATCGGTTTAGATAAGTTTCTGTAACTGTTTGAGTTTATATTCCTTAATTTTTATTATATTCTTGCATTCCAACCAACTTTTCCTTCTAGTTTTCATAGACGGTTATTACCGCCAAAATATTGACATTCTAGACACAACATATTTTTCAAAATTGTCCGCGAACGTGTTAAATTGCTATCATTTTCAAAATTATAATTTCAATGACCGCTGTGTTATTCTTATGGACATTAATGACAGTTGACAGTCTGCTTCCTTTGTTGGCATCCAGTGCTATGACCTTTCTCAACCTGTGACGTTTTCACTAAACACATATATTGTGGATGTTTAAGGGTAATAGATATTGGCAACTTTATAGCTTTCGGGTGCGCTCGCCGACATTCGCATTAATTCGAAGTTTTTTAATATTAGATATTCAATATCATCGTTATCTAAACCTTCTAAAATGGTAATTTCTGATGCCTTTTCCATATTATGTACCATTAAAAACAACAAAAAAGATAAACTAATTTAAAATGTTTAAAATGAGATAAGAAATATGTATAAGGACAAGTACTCTAATGTCAAACCGTCAGGTTTGCAATAGGTCTTATTTAGCATGTAATTTATTTGCTTCTTATTATGTTGTAACTATTAGTGGCTGACATTATAGAAATTTGCAGTATATCTCCATATTTATTTTCTATTCGTAACTGGTAACCAGTTACACAATTTTCAACATTATGTCACTGGTTGCGTAAAAGTAGATCATTTTGACACTTATATTTTACAAATTATATTTTATTTGAGTTAACATTTATTGTAAGTGAAAGTAAAAACATAATGTTTTAAGTTGAAATAAATGTGGATCTTGACGAGAATAACATACACTATGGTGATTTTTACACGATTTTTAACGAACTCTAGAATAACGGACAGAAATATTATTTTTCAATGGCAGGCTAAGGAGGTAAATATCCCAAATATTTTTACACAGACGAGCTTAAGAGGACAAAACCGAAAATTCAACATTTTTCGGTCTTTCGTTGAAAATTAAATCGTTTCTAGTTTTATTTTATGCCACGAGTATGCCCGTGAGGCGTCAGATATTTAACATCCTTACAATTTTCTTTTATTAATGCTCTTCATCCAGATCCTGTATAGCTTTTTCACTACCATCCTTTCTTTCTAGTTTTCCGCATCATTTCTCCCAAGATACATCGAATTTCCTCATTTTATCCCTCTCACGGGACTATTTAAATGAAATTAGGAAAGTAGGTTCCTTTCTTTTTGTCCTGTTTAACCGGATTATTTCATAACTGTAGCAGGATTATACAAATTGTGTTTAAATTCAAATTAAAAGTAAACATAACTGAAAACTTTTCAAAATCGTTCCGCAATGGTGTTATAAAGATAATATAAAGTAAGATGAGTCACGTATTTAACATTCAGTTAAAATACCTATATCTTAGGTTTATTTTACTTTCGGAATTAGAATTTTAAATAAATATTGTAATAGACGAAACAAAATTATTGATTTGACTTGTTTTCGGAAAAACAGATCTGTAGACGTTTAATCCCGTGATTAAGCAATTGGTTGTAAAGCCAACGGGCTTATTTGTGCCGTACGGTACGAATTTAGCGACTAATTCTTAACGACAAAATTTACGGAAATAGCCGAACTATCAATGACGTCGCATATAGGGGTATATAAATCTAAAAATCGGACAAAAGTCATTGGAATGAAGAAAACAATTTCCGGAAAGCGTTCACGCCAAAGCATACTTAGATGCATAGAAAACAAAAATCGATCGCCCATTTGTTTTAACTGGTTTGTCATAGATTTGTCATTATCTTAGCTTATTGCAATGATCACGTAAAAAGTTAACACTTTAAAAGACCCGTAATCACTTCTCTTTTTAAATAAGCTATGCATTTAAAAGCGGTTATTTTTATTTATTAAGCCCCAGGTATATTCTATTCATGTAATTTATTTATTTTAAAGAATGCGTCAAAATTAATAAATATTGTAATTTTTGTAACCGTATAACAGACTTATGAAATTTTACAAAATAAATACATATATGTTATAGTTCAGGAAGTTTTCCGGCCATTTTATTTTTCTTTAACCTAAAATAACTATCCTACTTTTAAGCAAACTAAAGATCGGATGCGGAAAATTGTCTATTGTATTTTTTCATTTCTTTTTTTTTCTTGACGATGTCACTTTACAAGATAAATTTATGTAGACACTTTTTATTGAAATAACATCTTTTTAAGGTGATTCTGGTGTCAAAATAATAACACGAGAATAGAAGAACAAAAAAAAATGTGCTAAAAAGTTAGAATTTTTTACATTTGAAAAAAAAAAAGAGTTTTGCGAAATTTTTCTTATATTATGTCAGAAATGAAGACTAGGTGGTATGCTGCCAACAGAACAGAATAAGTTTTCCTAAAAAAATAGCGATTGGTTGCAAGGAACAGTGGAAATATCTGTCAAATGTACAAGTAAACCGGATAGTCCAGCAAATCCGTTCGATGACTTATGTGACCGAAATAAAAGGCGCAAAATTCAAACTCTCAGAGATGAGAGTTAAACAAATGAGCTCGTACATGCTACTCAAATGAAGTTTAGAGAGACTGGTATACTGGTAATTAGGAGCTGCCAACGTCGTCAAGTCCACAACTCCTACCAAAGATGCTAAATATCTGAGAACATACCATCAAGACCATAACTAACCCACATTCAAGCACTATCTATTTTCATAGAAGCGTTTCTTTTGAGAAAACAGTATAAGATCATTAAAACCAGTGACAAAAAACTACATCTATGCTACAGTATTTTTCAAACGGCCAAAAAAGACCGTTTTCCAGTCCAAGAGCGTTTTCAACTGACTCCGACTGCAAGATTTACTTGATCATACATCACAACCATTATTGTTATACCTGTATAATGTTTTACAAAGTCTTCTAATACAAGAAACATCTTCATTGGAGCTAATTTGCAAATGGGGCTGTGATGGTTCACAACAGATTGAATATAAGCATAAATTTGAAAATATTACAGACTCTAATTCAAACATTTTTCAGTCATCACTAGCGTCACTTCAACTTATTTGTCGCAGCAGTAAAAGGGTGATTTAGTAAAATCCGACACCATCCTCGCCGCGCTATTGCTCACGAGACTTCTGAAATTACTAACGAGGAAATAGAATATTTCAATAATCAGATCAGACGTCAATCGCAAGAAGAGGTTTGACCATAAAACATACGATGTTGTTCAGACTGGTTAACGGCAAAGTTTGTAATTCAACTACAATAGATCCATCTGGGTCAACAATGGGGTGTTATAATTGAATGGCTACTTCTAAAGAATTTAATAACTTAGAAATATCAGAAGAAGTGGGACTTTCTGCAACAATAGCGGACGAATGGGCAGGATCATTGTCATAATGGAACAAAAGGGTTTTCTTCATATGAGTATTAAAACTAATCTGTCAGATTGATGTAAAATTTTGACAGATGACATTAGAAACATGGCGGAAACTACCATTATCACTTCTAAAAAGTCACTCTCCCGTCAAACCACCCTCGTATATTTTTTTCTTGTTCCTAAAACTTTTGACAGCGCTGAACTAAAATTAAAACTTTAGTTTCTAATTGACTACCTACCCTTGTCAAGTTACAATCATCCTTTCAGGAAAATCATAAATTAGATTATGTTGAAATGTATTACAAGGCTATTTGAGAAGTTTGATAATAAGTTTATTGTAAACAATAGAATTTAGTGCAGTATAAAGTGCAGATTGTTAAATTATGTAAAACGAGGTAACGAAAATTAACTGTCAGATAGTAAATTAAACAAACAATAAAGATTTAAGATGTAAATATATGTAATTCTTAAAGTATAAAATAATATGTATTACGTATTGATAAATACGTAGCTTCCATAAATATAAAAGGTCACAATATTTCAAATCAAAATTTTCTTTATTCAATATTATAATTTATTATATTATTAATATTATAATCCGTGAATTCTACTGTATTTTTTAAAATGAATTACTTTAAATAACTGACAAGAAGCAAGTAACATTTTAATTGTTGTAGCACCTTTTGAAGTGTCTTGACCAAATTGTCTTGTTCCGAGTGCACCCCTAAAGTATTCAAGTAACATTTCCATCCAAACTTCTAATTCCTTGGTCACTGTACTGTTTTATAATAAGTATAAATGTTTACTTATTGAAAATTTTTATAAATCATATAGGGTTTGGAAACTAATTTTGTAAAAGATTAAATTATAACATATCAAAGAAATAAGAACAAATTATACTTACATCTAACTCTTCCATATTAAAGCAATTCGAATAGTCTACGTAAGGTATATTCGTGCCATTCACAGATTTTATATACCAACTTCCGTTTTCTAAACATTCTTTGTAGATTGATTGCGTATGATCAAATCCAGAAATTTCTGGACACGAATGATTAACTGTTGTACCTGGTGGAGTTTCTGGCCAGCATATCTCATCATTGCTGATATAGTACAGGTAAGTATCAAAAACTTCTGGACAATATCCTGGAAAAAATGAGAAGAGAGTCAATAATATGCTGCTAGACAAACTTATTTTATTTTGTAAATGAAAATAAATTTTTTAAAAGTAGTGACACAAAATAAATAACTTTAAGGTTAACACAGGAAAAGTTTTAGGTTTAAGAGCCATCTATAGGTTAAAAAGGAAGATAAATCAACGATACAAATCAAATTTAAGCAGGTAACCTACTGGAAAATAAAATATCTATCTTAATCGTATAAATTTGGGTCAGGTAGATGATTATTACAATAAAAACCTAGAAAACTATACCAAAGCGCCCAGGTAGTCTAATTAGACTAACTAATTAGCAATTTAAAATGAAGAGGTGAGAGTAGAAATTTTTTATAGGAAGATGTTGGTATTATGTTAAGTCCGGCTGCATCTGCATCTGCATACCTTCCCTCCCACGCAATCTCACCGCCACTCAGTAAAGAGATTTGATTGAATACTGCCTGGACCAGAAGTTTGAGCTGGTAATATATTGCGACTCATTTGCTCATCACTTCAGTTGGGCCAGTAAGGATAACAGCGCTAGAGGTAAGTCATTTTATGTTTATATAACTACAAAAAATCTTTGTATTTAAAATAAAGGTACTACACCAACATTTTTAAACTATCACAGTCAAACACTAATAGATATCACTTTATCCACAACTGGTATCTATAAATCTGGAGATACACATGCCCGTAACTTGCACACTTGCATGCCAGCTACTTAAATGTTCAAGCTACTTGCATGTGTATCTGTTAACTTGCATACAAGTAGCTTGTATACAAGTTGATTGAACAAGATTTGATTTATTGGCATGCAATGTGCAATTTGGATGGTGGGGGGTATGAACTGCATGCCAAATTGAATGTGTGAACACAGACGACAGGTACTAGCATGCCAGTACTCGCATGCAAGTTGTGATCGTCATCACGACTAACTTCACTTCCTTTAGGTTTATTCGTTTATATAAAGAGTACGAATTTTTGTAGACTTCTAGTAATTCATTTCTGTATAAAAATAAAATAGCACGTGAAAATGCCTATATAAATTATGTTCCGTTTAGGTTGTATAATTTTAAGTACGCATTCTGTTGCAAGTGACTATATTACACCTTTTCGAAATGCGCGTATTTGAAGGCTTGCATGCATTTTAACTGGCAAATATATCCTTCGTCTTCAAGCTACTTGCACATACAAGCTACTGACATGTAATTTTACTTGCAAATGTATGCTCAGTCTGCAAGCTACTGGCACATGCAAGCTGCTGGCATGCAAGCTACTAACCCAATTTGATTGCATGTGTATGTAAATCAATTCTAAACTGACAAGCGTCTGATGACATTTGGATGTCAGACAACTGCTGGTTAACGTTCAGAATAAACTTGATGTTGACGACCTCCACACTATCTTGGAACCCTAGAAAGACGGTTAGGGCAATCTATGCCTACTTTCTCCAAGAAGCTTTGAGAGAGGTGGAGGCCGAAACACCAAACAATAACAATGCTTTGGAAAAGTACTCGAACACTATCCAAAGCACGATAAACAATACCTATAAAAAATCCTGTCTCCTGGGACTGGTCCAACATGATCAGACGTGGTGTGTGTGTCACGAGATGAATCATCTGAAGAAGATGGCTAGGAAACCCGTTAATAAGGAAAGAACCACAAAACACAAAAAGGAATGGGATAATTACAAATCTCACCTCAGAGAATACAAAAAGGTCGTTAGGCAAAAACAGAGAGATGCGTGGAGATCCTAGGTCATTTTATATATTTAATTCCAAACAATATTTTTTTTCGTACAAAATCCAATATTTTTACATTTTCTATCTGACAATTTCCAAAATTTTTTATGACAATTCCCAATCTCGACATCCTGATTCTTTTAAAAAAATAATTTTTCAATTTTCAGGACCTTAGGTACCCATCAAACGGTGAGTAACAAATTTACAAATTTGAAAACCAAAAATATATAATAATTCTTATTTTGAATCAAAATATCATATCAATATATAGTGTCAAAGGACACTTAGCGCTATCTAGCGATGGCTAGATAAAACCACATGACAGGTGGCGCTATATAGTGGTGGTTAAACGAAGAGACACATGATAGACGGCGTCATTTAGCGGCAGTTCTATTCACGTAAACAACCTTCTCTTACACAAGTGTCGTAGTACCCTCTCACTCTAACGTATTGATTTTCCTTGGCTGATAGTAGAACCAGAGACAACAGAGACGTGTAACTTAATAGGAAAATTTGTTCGGTGGTCCATTTAAACTACATATATGACTTTCTTTCTCTTTTCCATTGATCTTTACATATATGTATCTCTCTCCAATAAAACTAACACCAATCCTAGAGGTCGCTGATGTTGCTGGTTTTTTGACGTCGACGTATAGATTAGAACTGACAACTGACAATGTTATGAATGTTGTTATGGATTAATTTAATTTGGGCCCCGCTTATTTCTTTGAGTCTGATTTTGTTGTTTAATTAATTTTCTTTGGGGGGGGAGGGGGGGGAAATGTTTATTTTCGCATATTATTTTTTGCATGAAGCAATTTCTGAAACCAAACTCGCGTTTTTTGTACACGTTTTTTTCTGGAGTAATTTATAATTTATTAAGAAAACCACTGTATAATGTGTGTGTTTAATAATATATTACAAAATGGCTATAATTATTTTAGGTGAATTGGAACAGAGATCCATTGTTCTAGCTACTTTTGTTCATTAAGTAGGTAGGTAGATGAATATCTGAACTACTTTAATGGCAGCACAAAGTTCCCACTTACTAGAAAAGAAGTAAAATGTATGCTGAGTAAAATATTTCTGCACATGTAGTATTGGCAAAGGACTTTTGAAATAATTAGAGATTGACTATTTATGATATACACTTACCTCTAATAGCCACTCTAGTGTTTCTTGATAATAAATTGTAATATACCAATTGTTTCAAATGAAATTGAAAAGGAGTTAAATTCGAAATTAGATTTTTCATGGGGTAAACTGTTTATATTCATTCAAACATCGTATGGTAATCTATAATTAAGGGGAGTATGGAAAATAGGTATACCCTGGTAAGGGACACTGACAAAAAAATTACAAAAATGTATTTATCTTTAAATAGTGTTCATTATTAATATTATTATTTGCTATGTTTTGATAAGTACCTCCTGCTCTAGAGCAGATCGAATAGATTAGATGACTAGTTGGAGAAGGTCCACCTAGTCACCAAACTAGGAGACTAGAAAAAGTTTTACATGACTGGGGACACAACAGGAATCCACACGCACAATATACACAAATAGACAACATAACAGGGGTAAGCCTTCAGCAACGTCCTGTTTAAATGATGATAATATGTCATCCTTCATTCCCTTTTAGATGGCATATAAATCTATTGATCTTGATGATCCTAAGAGGAGTTAGCAGGGGGTGTACGGAATGGGTCTAGCAGGTTTCGATCCAGTTTACAGGATGGGAATTTACTCGACTCGGGCCTTATACATTTGTGTGAGTGTATGTTTGTTTCGTTTCCATGATTTCTATTAAAATAAACAGTCATAACATATCGATACCTTTTTGCCAGACTAACGTAAGCGACATATCAAATGGCACTTATAATCAATAGAATTTTCAAGTTTTTTTTAGTGAAATTTACAAGAGTAATAAAAACTATGTTTATGCTAATATTAAACTGATTAAAACTTCCTTTATTAAAATAATTATTATACGATAAAAAATTTGATGTTATTGGAAGCTATTACATTTTTTCTGAATCCATGTTTTAATTTCCCGCCCTAAAGCATTTTTAAATTTTCCCGCTATTTACTAGTGGCGCCATCATAGACTGGTTGTGGTTACAATCGCCCAAACAACTTTTACCGAACAAAAAAAAATACATTGAGTTACACGTCTCGCTGGGTTGTCTCCACATACTTTTACTGATGTTCTTTTACTATACGGAGAATGGTCGCACTGCGCAGCTTTCTGAGTGCCTTTTAAAAGGAGATAGAAAACTCCGCCATTTTGAACCCTTATTACGTGTTGCCTACATCTTGGCGCAATATTTTTAATAGGTGCTTCGGAATTGTCGGTTTTCTTGTTTTAATCTGACAGGTTAGAACGACTAAACCGACAATTCCGGAATCAGAAGCGAATGATTAAAACGCACCTGATATTTTGCTTGCTGCTGTCAGTGTCAGTGAATATTATTTTTGAAGTCACAGTTTATTGCTAAAGAATCAGTTAGCTCACTCGGACCAGTTGAAAGTTCCAAAATAACATCCACTCCAGGGATACAAATTTAGGATACGCAGAAGACTGCTGTGTTTTTATAGGCGGTTGTCATATATTGTATTATCCGAGTTGAACAGTGTATAAACTGAAACATTGAGATCAAAAGTGCCGACGCAGAGTGAGCGATCTGATTCTTTAGCTGTAAACTATGTCACAGGGTTCAAAATGGCCGCGCCCTATGTTGGGCGGGTCGGACCTCTCTCTTGCCTCGTATAGTAATCAAAGTATGTGGTTGTCTCTGATAGAACCTTTGGACATCTACTTAGAGCGAAACTAAATTTTGGCTTTCATTCTTTCACTTAACTTAAAAAATATTCTGTATAGGTAGGTAATACATGGTGTTTAAAACGTAGTTTTATAATGTTTTACTTTTAATTCGAATTAATTAACTTGTTTAATTTCAATGGTGTAACTCAATTCATCTAATTTGTGAATTATTAAATTATGTATTTATCAAATTATTCAGTACATTATAAGAAACTAAGGGTATCTGGAAAAGTTAATTTCTATAACGGGCGTTTAGGATTTTGTAAATGTTCAGTCGCCATCCCGAATTACCTTATATATTCATCAAAAACCTTTCTAATTTGATTAAAAATGGATTGAGGTATAATGTAAAACGAATTGAAAACGAAATTTACAAATTCATATTTTTAGCATGCCCAACGAAAATGAATAAGGAAAATTTCACAGTAATAGACAATTTTCGAAATAATTGTTTTCATTAATTTGTTTAAAGAGCTGTGAAAATTGACAAGTTTATAAATAGCCGCGACGTCAAAGGAAATTACTGCAATTTCTTTGATCTTTAAGCCAATAAAGCGTTTTCCATGAAATCAACGAATATCCTGAAAATCCGAGACATATTTTAGTTTTCTTTTTCTCCTACATAAATTATTATAGAAATTTCTCAGGGGCGTGCGGTCCATGGAAGCGGGGGAAGCACCGCTTCCCTACACTTAGAGATTTAAAAATAAATATTTTTCAGTTTATAATGCATAGAAATTAATATTAAATTGGGTACTATATTTTCTCTGAAACAATATGTAAACTTCGTAAATATACTAACAATTCATTGGTGTAATGTGTAAACGCACGCATCATATACCTCGAGTCCGTCGGCGGAAGCGCCTCTTGCAAAAGCCGGCTCATCTTCCAATTGATTTCGCTTCGTGTTATTAACCCTGCTTTGCAGCGACAGTAGTCAGTCTGTTTGCTCACGTGAAATACCGTCGAGAGGCAGCGATTTTACGTCGCCTTACGCATATTGCAATTCTCACCGCGAATCGACGTGTGAGGAAAATCGTAGACTTCAGATATATTTCGGTTTGTTTTTCGTAGTTGTTTTTCTTCTTGTGAAATGAAGGAACTATGCACTGTGTCTGTGAACAATAATAATCTGGTAAATTGTGTTTGTATTGTGCTCTGAAAAAAAGATTTTGATGTAGAAATTTTGAAGAGGAAACGGACAATATTAATTCTAGTAGACTAAAGAATCCTATCAATTTAGAGACGAAAGTAGAAGTAAGCAAAGAAATTTGCCAGGCATTTTCACGTAGGGTTCTATGAAAAGTATGAATGATTAACCGGCCTACTTTTTGATATAGCCGAAAAAACACATTGGAACTCAGTCGGTATTACAGACTTGAATAATTTTTACAAACGTGTAATACGTAATGTAAATAATAAATCTCATAAGTGCTACAATTGAAGAAAAAACATTCGGAACCTATCGCATTGAATATAGTTTGGACAATCATTTAAAAATAAGCAACAAAATTCACAATGAAAGGGTAAAAAAAATAGGGACGTCTTACAACAATTAATAGATGTAACTTGTTTGCTGGGAGAGCATGAACTAAGTTTTAGGGGTCACAATGAAACAAGTGGATCCGCCAATCGAGGAAATTACATGGTCGTTTTAAGCTTTTTAGCAATATACGATGAAATCATTATATTGATTCGACGACTCAAACAGAATCCAAAATGATGACGTTGTGATGGATCACATTAAAAGTAAAATTAAAAAAGCACCTTCCGTATCAATTGCGCTTGATGAAACCATAGATGTAGCAAACGTAAGTCAATTATCCATTGTTGTGCGATATGTATTGGATGGCATTCCTCAAGAGTGATTCTTTTTGGACGTCACTAGCGAACGAACTGCAGATGCATTGTTTAAAATTGTTTGTGACATTATTTCATGTTTAGAATGTGGTTCTAAGCTTGTTGCCCAGAGCTACGATGGTGCTGCCATAATGGCTGGCCATTTAGGAGGCCTTCAAGCTAAAGTGAAAGAGAAGTTTAAACATGCAATTTTCGTTCACTGTACAGCACATAGACTTAATTTGTACTTATCGCGAAGCATGGATAATATTAAATATTGCAAAGTTTTCTTTTAGACGCTTAGTGTTTTGGCTTCCTTCTTTTCAAAGTCATCGAAAAGAACTTCACGTTCAAAAAAGGTTTCCAAAAGTTGCTCCGATGCGATTGATCTACAAAGGACGTTTAGTACAAACAGTGTTTCAATATCGTTATTCTTTGTTACACTTTTTTCAAGACGTTTGGGATAATAAAGAAACATGGGATGCTGAAACTGTTACTGCCGCTAAAGGGTATTTCCATTGGCTCAATCAAATTTTTGATTTCAATTTTTTGCAGAGATTTTCCCTTTTACTGACATTTTATTCCACATTTTACAGACAAAGTAAAATAATATTGGCTTTTGCATTAAACAAATTGATGATTTTAAAAATAAAATGAATAAAAAACGAGATCAGTTTGAACACTTTTGGAATAAGACTCAAAACATTCGCTTAGAACATGAAAGAAAGAGAAATAGCATTTATAATGCGACAGAGAGACCTTCTATCGTCGATTATACGCCGAAATTTTTGATATTTTACAACAACTCTCGATTTCGAAACTTTAATGAATTAAAATTTGTTGAATTGTGCAATTTTAATATTAGTAACTACGATTCATCAAAATTTCCATCGGAAGCTTTTAATTCACTAAAATTAAAGTATGGAAATTTTTTCTATATTCCAGAATTAGAGTTCCAGTTAAGTGTTGTTTCTGAAACAACTGAAGTTAATGATAAAAAGACGCCCATCAATGTGTCAAATTTTTTTATAACAACTGGTTTAAATAAGTCTCTTTGTGAAGTCGTCAAGTTGTGTGAATTAGTACTAACCATCCTAGCCACAAGTGCGTCAGTTGAGCGAAGTTTTTTAGCTTTAAAGCACATTAAAAGTATTATACGAAATTCAACAAGTAAAGACAGACTTTCCATTTAAAAACAACTTGTTAAACAGTTATCAGAAAATTCAAAATTTTACGACGATATTATAGACAAATTTGCAGTCATTGAGGATAGGCGAATAGATCTTAAGTATAAATAAATGTCAACTGCTGTGTCAACTGTGCGAAAAATGCTGGAAAAAATAAAAAAAACTTCAGTTAAATGTTTTTTTACGTTTAAATAAACCAAGGAAGCTTCTCAATCGTAAGTTTTTTTTTTTGCTTCTAGTTCCAAACTAGGTAATAAAGTAATAGTAACACTTCAAAACTTCAATCTCGAATATTCATAGTACAGAGGAAAAACAACAAGATTTTGACAAAATGGTGAATGCGTAACACAAAATGGATTTTTGCATTTTGTGATACAAAATAAAATTCAAAATTTTTATATGCAATATGGCTTGTCGGAACTTGTTGACAGCGGAGCTAATAGAGACATGGAAAAGTACGAGACAGAATATCAAATAATTCGTGAGAAATTTTGTTTAATTTTTATTAACATAATGCAAGGAATCTTAAATTATTTTGAATATGTTTATTAATTTAAGAATTGCATTTTATTTATTTATAACAATGGTAGTAGGCGATCCATTTAAGATATGATTAATGTCTTATTATTATAATACGCTCTTTTAAATTTAGGAGTTTACAAGTGTCAGTGGCAATTGATGATATATAATTATTATTATTATTATACTCAATGTTTTATAAGGCTACACCAACTAGTGGACCACGTTTTTAAGTCTTCTAATAATAATTTCTAAGAATTTGATTCGGATTAGAAGTTCTACTATACAGGGTTTTGTGCCAATCAATAGAAATTGAAAATTCACATATGAATCTTTAAAACGTAATTATTTATAACTTTAATAACTTCCTTCGGTCAAAAATTTTAGCAAACTTATTTAATTTTATATATAAATTAATTTTCATTTTAACTTAGAAATTTTCGAAAAGTTCACTATATTTTTAGTTGTTGCAACTTTATTGCGCTTGAGTAGCGTTCAAATTGAAATATTAATTGATTTAAGGAGCTTAACTGAAAAACGGGAACTAATGCTTCCATTCCAAAAAAAGCATTATGGTCAATAAAAGGAATTTCGAACTGTGACATCTTCAAGTTCTTATTTAAAACCTTTAAATATTAATAGTATCATTAAATCTTTACAAATTGATACAAATATCGAACATTAGTTTGTTGACATAAACATTATTTTCATAATACAAATAAATATATCTGTGTTAAAGAATGGTCATAATTTATTTAATATATTCATTTAAACATGCTTTTGTTTTTTGTCTAGATGATATTGAATACTAACTTTTTCTATATAACTTCTTATACCCGACATTGTGAGATAGAAAACAGACAATTAATTAAGAGCGTACTTACAATTTTTCAATGTTATACTGTTTCCCAATCATGAAAATACTTAAAAATTTAAAAAGCCAATTAAATAATATGTTAATATCTACAGAAGAACTTGCTTGATAACATCGGGTTTCTTTTTTGGAAATAGAGAACAGTCGAAAATTATGAAAATAAAAACATTTTTATTTCAAAAAATAATAGGTCAGTTTTTTGTTTTTTATGTAAATCATATCATTTTCAAGGCAATAAATCAGAAGAAAAGTCACGTTTTTTAATCGAGTTACAATTCTTTACTAATTTCGCTGTTTCTCTTCGACGATATCCGGTCTCAATCTTGTTTAAAATAGATAACTATAAACGGATTAAGGTATTTTGTACCTGTTAAAAAATTTAAAAAAGATTTTGAAGAATATAATTCTTTCTTTATAATAAATAGTAAACTTTAATAAACATATACAATATTCTAAAAGATAAATCACATTTTTGTGATTATACAAAAATATTATTTATTTTTCCAATATAATATGGATTGCCCTCTAAAATATATATAGTGGCTCTCAAACAGTCTGCTTCTTATATGGAAAACTTTTTCTTGTTACTTTTTTCAGAAAATGTAATGCCTGATAAAACTTGATGTTTAATTAAACCTAAAACTTTATTTATTTAAAAAATTTTGTACCATAAATATAAATTTGGCTGCGCAGTGAACTAGTTACTCTTCTAGAAAGCGAACTCACATTTTTTCATATAAAATTAATTTAAAAAAATGTATATAATCCAATATAGTAGTTTTATAGTTAATACAATTAATATAGTTTATTATATCTTTAACCGACAAAAAAAGAAGAAGGTTCTCAATTCGTCGTAATATATTTTTTTATGAATGTTCAGCAATAATTCTTTAATACGGGTCCGATTTCAAGGATTCTTTTTTTGCTGGAAAGGGTGTACTTCAGGGGTGGTCCCATATTTGGTCAAAATCTAATAATTAGGTCCATGAGAAAATCCTCAAACTCTTCATTTTTTTATGTATGTTTAGCGATAATACTTTACCGTCTTGTCCGATTTCTATGATTTGTTAGTAAGGGGATACCTCAGGGGGTGGTCTCATATAACTTTGGTTAAGATGTGGTGATGGCATCTGCACGATTTTGAAGTCGGTTTTTTCAAATTACTTTTTTATTACTTGTTACGTAGATTAAAAAGTTTAATAATTTGGTGCTTTCTTGATGCATCGTTTTATGATTTCACTTTGTATATCTTTAGGTACAGATAATTATTATTATTACTGGCAGTTTATTTTAAATTATTAAAATAATATTTTGTTAATCCAGAAAAGGCAAACAAAAAAGCCATGTCATATACAGTGTAATAATACAAATTAGATATATAAACATAGTATATTATGTATAAACGGACTAAACTTTAACTTTTACCCCTGCCTTTTTGTCGTTAAATAATTTTTTAAATTTTTACCAGTGACGTCCGTACCGGGTTAAAAACTGAATATTTTTGAAGAAAAATAAGGTACGCCACTGCTTTTTCTAAAAACTAAAATTATCTTTAAAATCCTTATTTATTTTGGAGCAAATTTGGTTTTTAGATGTACTTTCGTACGACGCAACCAATTCGCGTAAGAAAATAAAACCAAAAAATTTTATTTAAGTTTATTAAAACTGCTTTTGATATTTTGTTGTATCGGCAGTCAATTAATAAATACCGTGTATTTATTGATATTACCTTATTTGAAACAATCGTCTATTTTTTCGTTATGTGTATATTGGTTTTATTTTGCCCATCTTCCACAACTCTATGTTTCTAAATGTAATTTAATCTAACTAAAGCTATTCACTAAATTAAAACATTAAAATAATGTAAAACCGTCTAATAAATCGAACTGCGTTATAACAATATCTCACAATGCAGCAAGAAAAACAAATACGATACTGGTTTCCCTAATTTAGGTAACTCTGGCTCACTCAATAACTGATGAACGTCGGCAGCCGTGGTAACTGGTAGGATTTTTCGATTCCTTTGTCTCAACTTCGCGCGTTAGAGTTTAGAATATGTATCCCTCGTATCTACATGCAATTGTTAAAATTATGAATGGATGCGGATTTTGTTTAGTCTCGGAAGTAAGTTTGTAGTATTCAAGTTGTAATTTTTATACCTACTAAACTACCGTTGCCCCGCAGGTCTTTCAGTTTGTAATGTAAATTTTCCCCTTAACTAAAATAATAGGAAACTTAGATGGTAGCACTTGCCATTTTAACTACTGAAAACAGCAAAGGCTGAAATTTTAGAATTTTAAAACAAACCGCAATCAATCTATGATATCTGATGATATTATATTAGATTGAAATACAAACGATTATTTCAAGACAATATATCCAAGAAGAAATTTAAAAATAAATAAAATTAATGCCAAGTATGTCCAAAAATGTTCTCCTATTACATTTGTTATTTTCGGAAACAAATTCTTTTCTTAATGACCACTATCATCGGCTCAATAACTCAATTTAATAGATTATATCACATTCCAGTAAACATATAGAAAATAGATAATAAACAGAGTAGACATGAATAAATTTCTGACGTTAAAAGCGTTGATATTTAACATCCAGCAGGAAATTTATAGTTATTCAATTAAACGAAAATACTTGGAATCGTAGCAAATTTTTTCGTTAATCATAATATTAACTAATTAAAGGAGAGGAAAACACAAAGTCTTAAGAACAAAAATTATTTAATAAACATAGGGGTTAAGCACGACAAGTTTCGGTTAGTGGCACTCATCAGACCTGTGAGAAAATAGTAGGTAGTTTGTGCAACAAGAGTAGTTATGATGGCCATATCCCACGAAGACGAAGTTTAAGCACGATGCTTACTTAGAATAGAATAGAATAATGTTTTTCGACGACCACTGCAGAAAATTATAAATTCCGAATTGTTTTTTAAGGGTCAAAGTAGGCAATTACGTACACATTCATAATTAGTGTGGACATATTATTCCACACGGTAATTCCACACTGTTTAGTGCATCGAATAAATTGTCGTATAACCTTTAGTATGAATGAAAAACACAATATTATATTTTAAGGACATATCTATTTAACTAAATATTTCGTCGAATACTACAAAATTCAGTTAATTTAGAAAAAAACTTAAAATAATTTATAATTTATGTAATGTTGGTTGCCTATATAAAGGGAATAATAATAATAATAAATACTTATACAGAAAATTATTCCCAATAAACATCGACTTTACTTTATTTCATTTACTTTTAATTTATTAATTTTAAATTTCTTTGTTAATAATTTTAATTCTGAGTTTAAAGTTTGAATTATTGTTCCAAAATCTTTCCTATACCAATAAATTAATGTATCATCAGCGAATAGATGAATTTTACATTTGTTTAGTACATATCCCAAATCATTTATATATATTATAAAGAGTAAAAGACCCAAGACACTGCCCTGGGGAACGCCTACATCGTTTAATAATAAATCTGATATATTATCATTAATAATTGTTTTTTGAAATCTATTTAATTAATAATTTTCTAACCAATCATATATAGAACCATTAAACCCATACCTTTTTAATTTTAATAAAAGAATTCTGCTATCTATAGTTTCAAAAGCTCTTCGAAGGTCTATAAAAACTGCGCAAATGCCAAGTCCTGGTTTATCTAATATTTTTTTCATGTCAGACACAACTAACTGCAGAGCCGTTTCACAAGAATGCGAGTTTCTGAAACCTGATTGATAACTGCATAATATATCATTATCATTTAAAAACTTCACAATTTGTTTATACACAACCAGTTCAAGTACCTTTTCACAGAATGGCAACATATTTATAGATCTCAGTTGATCAACTCTATTTGTATTTATCACCTTAAGAATAGGAACTATGGTGGATGTTGGAAAACATTGAGGAACAGTTCCTTTTTCCAAACTTAAATTAATCAAATTTAATAAAGGTTAACCCAGAACGTGATAAAGATGCCTAATTAAATCAATAACAATTTCAAATAGTACTATTTTTGTTTTTCTTTTGGGAATTAATTATTTCATAAAGTTGTTAATTATTTATCATCTGAAAGTTTGTCAAACTCATCTGAAAGTTTGTCAAACCTAACCCGAACTAGAAATTCAACAAAAACAAGAATGTTTATAGTTTAGCTACAATTTAAATTCTTGCACACTGTTATCCTGATATGAGCTTTACATTCTTAAAATTTAAACATTCCTTAGAGGAAAAATATTTAAGGCAAATGATAGAACATAAGTTGATGTAAAATTCAATTATTTTATGAAGCGCTTCCCGAGAAAAATCTAAAATTCGATAAAAATACGTTTAGCTTTAGGAAATTATTCTGAAAAATAATATACAGGGTGTTTATTAAGTACTTGTACAAACTTTAAATGGTGAATCTTTGACTTATTTTAAGGCAAAACGTTCATATGAACACATGTACTAAACCTCTTAACTTTTGAGCTACGCAGGGTGGTAAAGTTTTCAGAATTTTTTTTTTTAATATCTTTAAGAATAATGCATATATTTTTACGAAATTTGGTACACGTCTCCTACGCATTATGATGCATTTTTTAATGTACACATAATTTTATTATTTCTACCAGTGGCGCCCGTACGGGTTTCGTATTAAATATTTTTGCCGAAAAAAATAGTACGCCACTGCTTCATCTTAAAATAACAAATATGTTTGCAATTCTCATTTAGTTTTGAGCAAATTTGGTCTGATGAGTTTTTTTCTCCGACTCATAGTTTTCGTCCGACGCATAGTATTCTGCATGGAACAAGTGAAAAATGTCTTTTATTGATTAATATTGTTATGTGATAAACTTAGATTATTTACAGACTAAGACTAAACTACTTTTACAAATAAGTTAATAACATTTACAACAATTGCTGAAAATGCCCGCCGCCTACTGCAAAGCATGCGTCAATTCGCCTTAACATTGATTGACGTACTCTTTCGAATATACCTGGTGTCTGATTAATAATGGCACACGATTCAAATATCCTGTTTCTTAGATCTTGCTCATTTTGAACGGATGTTTTGTAAATTAATGTCTTTAAGTGACCCCACAGAAAAAATCCAGAGGATTTAAATCTGGTGATCTGGGAGGCCAGGCTTGCGGTCCCGCTCTTCCTATCCAACGATTAGGATAATTCTCGTTCAGAAATTGACGTGCAGCCAAACAAAAGTGTGCCGGTGAGTCATCGTACATAAACCACATCCTGTTTCTGGTAGCCAAATCAATTTCTTCTAAATGTTCAGGAAGCTCGTGCTCCAAAAAACTTCTGTACTCTTCGCCATTTAGCCTTTGTGGAAGAATGCAAGGTCCAATAAGGTGATCCCCCATAATTCCGACCCAAATATTTAGAGAAACGATCTTGGAAATTATTTTCTATGATAGCATTGGGATTATCCTCAGACCAGATATAGTTGTTGTGGAAGTTCATGATGGGGTTTCGAGAAAAAGAAGCTTCGTCTGTAACAAGTACATGGCCTAAGAAATCCGGGGTTGTTAATAATTCATTTCGCAGCCAAACGCAGAAATCTACTCTAAGAGGAAAATCTCTAGGTAGTAATGCCTGTACACGTTGAATATGATAAGGATAAAGTTGTTGAGATTTTAAAATTTGCCACACAATTTTATGCGTGATATTCAATTCATGAGCAATTTTCCTTGTACTAGTTTGCGGGTCTTCTTCAATTCTATTTAACACAGCTTCTTCAATTTCAACTGTTCGAACTGTCGCAGGCCTTCCTGGAATATCAATTGTTCTTTTAAAGCTGCCAGTTTCACAAAGTCTTGCGTGAATATTAATGAAAGTTTGGACATGTGGAACCACCCGTTGAGGAAATCGGGCTTGATACATTCTTTTTGCAGCTTGTGCATTACCGTAGACGAAATGATTGTCTGCCATTTTTGCATTGGTATATTCGTACATTTTGAACACAATAATAGACAATAAATTATTACATACACACATACATACATTTTTAAATGACAAAAACCATGATCTTTTTTTTAAATAAACTGTCATGACTGATTCCGCTACCATGGAAACCTCTCGGTTGTTTGCAAGGCTTGCTATGCATGTATGTACAATTGTACATTTTAGCAATTTGACTTTTATTTTTTAAAGCGTAAACTATGCATCGAACGAAAAAACTCAAGAGATTAAATTTGTTTAAAAATAAATGAGGATTTCAAAAACAATTTTTGTTTTAAGATGAAGCAGTAAAATACTATTTTTTTCTGCAAAAATATTCAACAAAAACCCCGTAGGTATGGACGCCACTGGTAGAAAACATAAATTTGTACATCAAAAAATGCATCTTAATGCATAGTATACGTGTACCAAATTTCGTAAAGATATCTACAATAGTCTCACAGTTATTGGAAAAAATAGATTTTTTTCTGAAAACTTTACCACCCTGTAGCACAAAAGTTAAGAGGTTTAGGACACGTGTTCATATAAACTTTTTGCCTTAAAATTAGTCAAAGATTTACTATTTAAAGTTTGTACAACTACTTAATAAACAACCTGTATATCTTGAAACAAAATCTCCTTTCTAAGTCAAATATTACCATTATAAAATAAATTTTGTAAATTACTTACCAGGAGTACTATTTTTATCACTTCCACATTCGAAATATAATTTGCTGCTATTTAGATGTGACTGAAAATCGTTGGGTAAATCCATTTCCTGAAATAAAGAATAAATTTGTAAGTAAAAAATAAAATGTTTTACTAACTTTGTAATAAGAGGCATTATTATTAATAAAACATACAGAATTCGAAAAAAGTAATGTTTTAACTAAATATTCAAATAGAAAATCGTATTGAAATTAACCAAACAATTAACTTATTACTTGAAGGCCACTTCAAATCCTACACTTCCTTGAGAAAATAGGATTGGAAGGGTCGCTATAGGCATTGAGACATTTCCTTAGTGCAGTGGCGACAAAAGGGGGCACAATAGATCTTTTAGGTCGCAGTGTATTAACACCCCATTATCAACATAAACTTATTACTCTAGTCAATGACTTACATTGAACTAGAGCGTTACTCAAAGTGTGGTCCGCGGAGCCCTGGGGCTCAAAGCCTGTGTGGGGGCTCCGCGAAGAAAATAACAAAAAAAAGCAGTACGTATCGCTACAACGGGACTTGGCTTGAGGACCTTTTTTTGTGTTTTTTTTTATTTTGTTTTTTTTTTGTTTTTTTTTTTGTTTTTTTTTGTTTTTTGGTTTTTTGGTTTTGTTTTTTGTTTCTTTGTTTTTTGTTTTTTATTTTTGTTTTTTATTTTTGTTTTTTTTTCTTAAGGAGTATATGAGTTTGGTATTTTGGGTTGGGGAACCTTTTTTTTGAAGTCAGGAAGAGGAAAGAGTACATGGTTTAGGTATTTTGGGTTGCAGGACCTTTTTTTTTTTAGAAGTCAGGAAGAGAAATCGTATATGATTTGATTTTGGTATGAGGACCTTTTTTTTACAAGTCAAGAAGAGGAAGGCGTATATGATTTTGAGAATTTTGTTGTAGGGGTTCCGCAAAGAGCTAGAGCAAGGATGACCTTTTTTCCGAAATGTGTTTAATATTTTACTTTTCAAAAAGGTTCCGTCACCAAAAAAATTTGAGAACCACTGAACTAGAGATTTATCCAAGTTAGTACGTTGACATTCTAAAAAGTAAAAGGTAAACTGTCATGTAAATTTTGGTTTTAATAAGACTGTCGATAGTTGACAGAATAAACTTGAGTAGGAACTGCGGTCAGAAACTCTGGCCATTAGGTATGTCCAGTATTTACGAGATCTTCGAGACTCTAGGTCCCAAAGCACCTTAAGGTGTAAATTTTTGTGCAGATTTGTGTGCCAGAGGCCAGAGGTAAATATTCTTAAATTTTGTTAACATGTTGTTTTAAAAGTGTTGTCTGATTTTATTTTGAAACAATTATTTTATTGGTTTTCATACAAATGCCAATTTTTCCACTTTCGAACCAAATTTATATGTCTTATATTTATCTTTTATTAATCTTTATCTTTGATTTACCTTATATTTATTTTATATTTATATTTATCTTATCTTATATTTATCTTATATTTATCTTATATTTATCTTATATTTATCTTATATTTATCTTATATTTATCTTATATTTATCTTATATTTATCTTATATTTATCTTATATTTATCTTATATTTATCTTATATTTATCTTATATTTATCTTATATTTATCTTATATTTATCTTATATTTATCTTATATTTATTTAATATTTATCTTATATTTGCTTTATTATTGTCTTATATGTATCTTTTATTTATCTTATATTTATCAATATTCATTTATTTTAATATCTATTCCCTAAATATAAATTGATTATTTATCAAACTTCCAAATCCAACCTCTCAAATGTGGCCATTTTCAATGAGAAAATAAAACAACTCCAAATCAATGATTATTTTTTCCAAAACCAGTTATGAAATATTCTGAGCATTTGTGAAGCCTCTGCGTATTTACCCCTATGGACTAGAAGAGTCTATATCTACTTTCCAAAGCCGCTCGACCATGCTACTAAGGGATTATTTTGTTTTGTTCTAATTTTATTTTTATTTGTCACTGTTGAATTGATGTTCTTTTCGGACTCCAGGACCATTTGGCTGGTGACAGTGCTGCCTTTATCTCTTAATAGTATATTGACAACAGTAGTTAAAAACAGTTGTTACGAATGGGTCTTTAGACTAGTTGGTTGTTACATTTGGTAACAAGGGAGGTCCTTTAGACAAACTTATTGTTACAATTTAATTTTTTATAGGTTTTAAATATCAAATACATATTATAATCTTATAAAGTTATTAGCAATAAGAATTATAAACACAGTAGAACATATAGTAGAGAAAAAAATTAATCAAACTTTAGAAGAGAGGATCTATTAAACAGTAGGTAAAGATAAGCCTTTACCGTATTTCTAAATGTGATAACCTAATAGAACAAAATTTTGAAATGTTTTTTTATATAATATACAGGGTGTTCCAATGAAAAGTAGCCCGTTTCCAGAGTTTATAACTTTTAAGCGCCTAATCGTAGAAACGTGCGGTTTACGCTGATATGTTCTATTTTGCTATAAGTTTTGGTTTAGTGACACAAAAATTATGTATTACTACAGGGTCTTTTTAAAAACCTCTTTTTAGAAATCATCTACATGAAAATAAATAGAAAAATAAAAATTATTTTTCAAGCAAACCGTACGAGTATTTAAGTTTCTATTTTTATCGTATAGAAATCATAAAATTTTTATTGCTAAATAAAATTTAAGTTTATACAAATCATTAACGTAAAACAGACAAATAAAACATATGATATATTGGTAATGATAATAAACACGAACAGTGAATGAATTGTGGGTAATAACAATCTTCATCTGGCAGGGTGGTGATATTAATACAAAAATTCGACGAATAAGAAATAAAGGTTAAATAAAATACTAAAATTAACTTAAATTTTTTGAAACATCAGTTAATCTTTAGTTGTCAATCTACTCCGAGAAAAATCAGGGCATATTAATGATTTTTTTTTTAATATGAAAACAGCAAAAACTTATTGCAGCCAATAAATATTATAATAAAAAATCAGTTAATACCCGTTATTTTTAAAATATGTATTTATATTTTTTATAAAACGAACGGTTTTCGTATTATTTAGGATTTCTGTGTGTATCTGTAACGTATAGAGGGTGGGTTACCCCCCACGGTACTTGGGCCTCACTAAGCCCATTGTGTATCCTCCTAAGATGATAGGAAATTCCTAGCCCGTGAGCCGGTCTACAGATTTAATGTAGTTGACAACGTCGCCAAGAGGTGCTTTTTTTATATTGGCCGGTGTTAGTTGATACTCGCCGAACACAAATCTTCTAATAAATGAGACCGTCGAGCATTCGTAGAGGATTTTCTCAATGGTCGCATCTTCTTGTTCGCACCCTCTGCAGAATGCGGATTCTGACAGCCTCATAATATGGAGATGCTTCCTTACTAGGCGCAGATTCTGTCTAGCCATAGTTAAGTATTTGTTTGCTGTAATGTTGTCAGAATAACTTAAAGGCTTCCTGGCAACTCTATAGTTTCTTGTTTTATCCCATCTTTCCTTGAATTTCACAAGGGAATGTTCTTTAATTAGTTCTGTCACTACTGATTTTGTCATGCCAATAGAAGGGCCAGGTCCAAAAAGTATTTGTTATTTAGGATTTTATAATGTAACAAATTTTCAACAATTTGTCAACTAACTCCCGTAACATAATTTTTGTTAGGTATATTTAGGGATTTATATTGTAAATTTTTATTAACAATAATTTCGACTAACCCCCGTACCTAACCGGCGGGTGCTTACATTACACGAGAGCGTAATGGCCTTACAACTCGTATAACGTACTATACTTTTTCTTTTATTAAATAAAGGACATCGCAATTATTTATATTTTATTATAATAGTTGTTAATAACAATTGAACAACTATTGTAAGTCGATTGTGCCTTATTACTTAACGGTGATGAACAGTTATGATTGTATTTATCTCCACATCCTGTTTTACGCATTTAATAATAATAATAATAATAATAATAATAATAATAATAAATTGCTTTTATTTGCTTGTAATATACAATGCACATAAACATGATGAGGCGAAGTCTAGCTTGAGCTACTCAACTTAACCTCAACATAAATATAAATTTAAAATAATCAAAAGGTATACATCATTTACAATATAAAAAAAATAAGAAATTTAATATACAATTAATTTATGATTAAAAAATGTTAACCCTGTATTTAATCTAAACTGAAATCAATGGAACTTAAAATACAATTAAATAAGGAAAAATGTTTGAAATTAATAATATATTAACGTTAGCACTGTATTCATTGCTCAACTAATAGCAACGTTTTATAATTTTGTTTTAAAAATGTCAGAGAACATGTCCTAATTTCCCTAGGTAGACTGTTATATATTGAAATGGCGTTATATGTGAAAGATCTTTTGAAAAATGATAATCGGTAATTCGGAATCGTTAAGTTGTGTGGATATCTCAAATGTAAATTTGTGCAGATCTTTCCGTTATATCAATTTATTTTTTAAGTATATGGGAGTTGAGATTAAAAGAATTCGAAATACCGTGGCCTCCATCTGATATTTAAATAAATTTCCTATATTGAGCCAGCTAAGTTCTTTAATTTTATTTGATATTCTATCATACTTTCTGATACCAAATACAAAACGACAACAACAATTTTGAATCTTGTGAAGTCTGTATTTGGTTATTTGATCCAAACAAGGATAGTAAATTTAAAGTCCATAATTTAGGATGGACAATACAAGACTTTCACAAAGCAACTTACGTAATTTGAAACTCAAAATACCTCGATTCCTGTATAATTGACGAATAACCAGATACGATTTTTTGACTAGAAGCGAAACATAGTCCTGAAACCTTAATTTGCAGTCATAATAATGCCTAAGTTTTTGGCACTTCTACATGATTTTAGAGGTTCATTTTGAATGAATAACTTAAGGTTCTGTTGCACATTATGTTCTATATTTTTAGGACAAAATAATATTGTATGACATTTACTGGCATTTAGTTTAAGGTTATGATTCATAGAAAATGTATATACTTCATTTAGATCTGAATTCATGTTTTGCGAGGCTATATCTACTTCACATGGGTCAAAGAAATAATATAGTTGCTTGTCGTCAGCAAAAGAGTGTATATTTACATGCTCCAATAATTTATAAAGGTCTGA